TCTTGCCTAGACTTGGCTGGGACTTTTTTCCATCTATTCTGATTTTTTTCAGTGTAGAATTTTATGAGTATTGAATAAGAGTATTTTCATTGTCTCTAGTAGCTGAGATCGAGTTTTAAACAAAAGACCTCTAAGACTGAAATATAAATAGAGAAGAGTTCAGGATGACATCATGTTGTATGCACACCAGAAGTGACCACAAATAACCTACAATAACCTTTAAAATTAGTTTTTTCCTGACTTCATAAAACAATATTTTATTTGGCAGGCATGTATTGGCAAGCTCTTTCAAAAGCTCTATTTGTTTTCTGTATCCAGGAAGACACAACCAGTGTTTTCACATAGGTTTCCTTCTATGCTGTGGTTTTGCCATTTTCTGCTTCTTTATGAGTGGCTGCTGGAGAATATTTTTCTTTGGGACATTTATTAAGAGTAACAAGGATATGAATGAAAAACCATCCTTATAACAATACAGGGTGGGTTTCTGCTTCCATATGTAATGCTGACCAAATCCAAAGGACATAAGTAGAATATATCAACAGTGATATGGTTGCTTTATTCTGGGGTTATATAATAACATGCAGCTGGATCAAAATATGGTATAGTGAAAGAAATCAGGCCATGTGCCCTTTGAGGCATTAATTAAATCCAAGGTTAAAAAGAGAATGTAAGACCATAACAGAACTTTAAAAAAAAAAAGGTACAGAATTATTTAAGCCAAATTGAGGTGCAAAGGCAGCAGGAAAAGACAATTTCAAAGGTATTGAATAGGTTGGCCAATAGTTCTCTTTTTTAAAAAAATGCTGTCATTATAAACTAAAAGTGATATGTTTTAACATAATATAAAATCTTTCCTGAAACTAATTTCATATCACTCAGGTTTTCACATTTCTACTATTTCCTAGAAGACAAAGATGAGTAAGTGTAGAATCTTCTCAAATATAATAAAAGCAAAACAAATATTTCCCAAATAAATAGTTCTTCTAGAATAAGTCGCTATATTTCATTTTCTTCTTTTGGTTCCTATTAATCTTTTACTCTCACACAGGCAAAAGAGGAAGGTTCCAATAATTAACCTTGTGCTGTTGACCTAACCAAAATTAACTGGCTATGCAACAATTTAGTTGTCCATATAAAAACAGGAAGAGAGATTTCCCCAAGTAACCCTTATTCACCATGAGAAAAACAGCTGGTGCTCTCTCTTTCCATGTAAGCCTGTGGGGCATGGATGAAAGGATGTATATTTCTGATATCCTCTCTTGTAAATGGGTGGTTTTTTTGGTGGAAGTGTGCCAACACTCAGTTCCTGAGAAGCAGAGGCCCAAGAAAGTCTGGTCAAAATATTTAGAATTATATCTTTATAAGATGAGGTCTGTGAAAATGAACAAAGTTTCCTCACCACTGTTACATGAATAATCACTGCAAAATAATAGTGGAAACCTACACCTTTTCCTCCTAGGAAAGGAGGGAAAGATTAATAAGAAACATTGCCCTTCCAACAACAAAAATCAAAGTTTTAGTACCAGACTTCTTTGTGGCCTGTTTTCCAGTAGTTCTGCTACATTTCCCACAGTACACTGCTGGGATTTTTTATTTTTTATTTTCGCTACGCATGCTCACACATCTGTTGCACATGTGTGATCAACCGACTAGATTTTTGAGCCAAACGTCCTGTTAAATGGACAGAGTGGGCAGAGCATTCCTTTGAGAGTTAGACTCTGCCTCTGGTGGATTGCCTTCAAATGCAGTGGTGCAATAAAGAAAAGAAATCTGCTCATTTGAATTGCACTGAAATGAACTGTGTCCTCTCCTAAAATACCATATGGTAATGATCCCTGGAGGTATGGCGCATAACACCTAAGTCTGGCAGACTCCCCTGGAAGGCTGTAAATGTCCCTGTGTAGTCAGACTGTGAAAGGCAAGATAGTTGACAAGAAGCATGTAGAGTAGAACAAGAATCCTATCTGATGGCCCTCAATCAACTCGAAACGAAAGAAAGTAGACTGAAGAAATCCTAGCAGTCATCTTGGAGAAATCCTTCTTCTCCCATTAAAAAGCAGTTCTTGGATCTCACCTCCAGTAAAGTGAAACCGTATGGAAAGAAAGCTGTTTCACCTGAGCAGTAGCCAGAGTTTCTTTGCAGCAAATTATCTCAATAAGACTCAAGTGTATGTCTGCAAAAACAAAATGCAGCCTTCTAATCAAACCTCCACCAGAACTGAGAGCAGATGGACCACGTAACCGGAGACGCTGCGTCATGCCTCTGCTTTGGCTAGCACTCTCAGTGAACCCGATCCTACCACAGGTAGTAGCTAGTGACCTGCACGCCATTCTCGGAAGTCTCTTGAGGGACACACGCCCGCCCACCACAGTCTTTTGTGGTGGGTAGAAATCCAGGTAACGCTGGTGGTGAGATACTGTAAAGTCTGTAGGGCAAACAAAAGAATGGCATGTCTTATCCCCCAGAGCAGTAAGGTGCTGCTATAGAAATTAAGAGTATGGGATTTAACTACAATAAAATCCCAACAGCCACTGGTACTTGAAAATTTTCCATTTATCTCAACAAACTCAATTCTGGTCTTTTCTCTCATTTTTCTTGAAAAGGAACACATCCATTAGTTTAGTCCATAATCAAATGTATTTACAGAAAAAATGGGAAATTACCTAAAGACATGAAGTTATTCCTGTTTGAACTTTATTTTTTTAAATTTTTTTCTATCCTAATAATTTTTTCATCATGGTGTGTATCTGTTAATGGGGTAAGAGGATTCCTATAACTACAGTTTCTTAATCCTCAATTTTTTCTTGAAGCTTTGACAACTAAAGTCCAACTATATACTCAAAATATTTATATACTTCTTTGTGACTTTTCTGAAATTTAAGTTTTATTTTTCATATCAAATATAACTTTGTGTTTTTATTTCTATAATATATTGTGATTATTTTGAGGAAACTCCATTACCATCATTTACAAAACATAGACAGTATGTAGTGGAATAACAGCTACTGTATATTAAGCAGTTTTATCTGTTTGTAGTAACTCATTTAATCTTAACCATCATCTAGTACCAGGCATTATTATTATTATCCCTGTATTATAAAAATGAGAATATTTAGATTTATTGGGATTCGGAAGCATATCCAAGGTTAAAAGTAGCCGGTAGAGCGGAGGTGTAATCCCATCTTTTATTTCCAGAACTAGCGTTCTGGAATGTCTATTACACCCTCGTGCTGGAAGAGTCTTTGGTTTTGTTTGGTTTTTGAAATCCAGACTCTAGAATTGTCATTTCAAACACGTCTTCCCTACATCCTAAGACTGTCAGAGGAGAAAATTCTATTTACCTCAATAAATTCATAGTTTAAAAAAAAAAGAAAAAAAAAACATTATCCAACTAAATATTTCCTTCTTCAAAAATGAAACTTTCCCATAATTAAAGTATTAATCCACTGTTCTCTAAATTCTGCCTCTACTACGATTATCTAAAAAGCTTAATTTTTTCTTCAATCTTTTCTTTCAGAGGAAAGAGAAAAATTTTCTATAATCTTATCACAGGAATTTTCTTTTTTTCTTTTTCCTAATTTTTAAACCAAGAAAGTAGTTTGCTAAAAGTAGAGGTCTATGAGTACAAATACATAAATAGATGCTGTTTTAAAATATTTTAAAAGAACAAAATATGTTTAATTGAAGTCTTCATCTCTCTATAAGGGCTTGCCTTGTGTCATTTTTACTTGAGAACCTCTATGAATACTGAGATCACAAAAATGGCTCTTGGAAATCACGTAGTAGGCAACTGATATTTCCAGTGATATCTATAATTCAGAATAATCCTCATAATATCAACACAGATGTTTCTCTTTTTCATTAACTATAGTATCTTCAAATTTGATACTGAAACACCAAATAAATGTCAGCCCCCCCCCTTTGTTGTTGATAAAGAGAACACTGGATTGTGAAGCAGGACTCAAATTCATATATTACAAACCTATTTATTGTTTCAACAGAGGAATTTGAGCGCAAAGTGTGTGGGAAGAGTATCTTATTTTTACAGATCAGAAAGCTGATGCATAGAGATTAAGCTATATTTATGAGGTCAATGAAAATATCAACAGGACTGTGATGAGCCAAATCTGCATTCCACAAAAAGTCTAAAAATAAATTAGATTTCCCAATGATATGTAACTAGCATTTTAAAACATTGTGTAAAATTATTCATATACTCATGCATTTCATTTCAGCCATAATTTAGACTATCTACATTTTATTAGATTCACAGGAAATTCCCAGCACAGTTTGCCAATTGATATTAGAGCATAAAGTCCAAATGAGTCATATAGATATATGACTTTCACATATATATTTCATATATATTTTTTATATATTTCATACATATTTTTTTAATTTATAGGATGTATATCTATAAAATGCACAGTATCGCCTGTGCTAAATAAACTTAGAAGTACTAACTTTGCTTTTAGATGGGGACAAGACTGCAGAAATATAAAATCTCACATTTTTTAGCTTTATTCTAACAGCTATTTTCTTGCCATTTTAATAATGCTACTAATTGTCCTGGATGCAAATTTCAGTGTAGCAGTATTTCTTTTTGGGTGTTTGGTGCCTCTCTTGTACTAATATAGATTCTTAATGATTCCATAGAGGCTTGATTTGTCCTTTTGGACACTCATATCGATAATCCCCACCTCTTACTGAATATAAGTAAAATTGTTAGCTATGTTTTGGTGAAAGCAAATAGCAGTTCCTATCCACTAGCACCGCCAAAACTAAGAAAAAAGCTCTTGATTAGGCATATGAGCATGGTCTAATAATTATCTTGAAAATTCTTCCTGAAATTTCGTATTTGAATTAAATTTAAGAAATTAACACTTGCAGCATCTTTCACTTACACACACACACACACACACACACAGAAGGAGAGAGAAGGAGGGAGAGAAGAGATTGAGAGATAAGCAAATAAACCAAAAATAAGGATTGTGCAGACCAGTCTCAGACGGATGCCTCAGAGACTTTTTAGTCCAACTGCCATTTCTCCGGTTGCATACGATGTGTTGTGTGTGAAAACAATCGTACATAAACAGGAATTTAAGCTCCACAACACTTTACTTTCTCTTCCTCTCCCCTCCCTTCTCAATGTCCTTTTACTTCCTAAGCTGCCAAATCAAACGCTCCATCAGAAGCAATAGCCTACAATTAGCTTTTTCAATTAAAATGTAGAGTTCAAAGTTGACTCCAGAGTGAGTAATTGCTTTTGAAAAACCATAACCAGCGGGCAGCTGCCAGATTATTACAAAAGTTTATTTAACCTCAAAACATCTGATCAATTTTATTATCTCAGCAGAAGGGAGATATCCTGGAGAGTAGGGTTTAAAATATACTACTCATCCTAGATGTCTGAGAGAAAATAAAAATTCTTCAACACTATAAATATCCTTTTGCCATCACCTTCCTGAGAAAAGAAACTCAAATCACACTTTCTTCATTGGAAAGTCAAGAGAAATGAAGAAACCGAATGCAAAAGCTTCGTGACATCACTGGGGTGGGAGTCTGGGGAAGGGGGCCAGGAAAAATCCACAAAATTACAAGGTTTAAAAACATTCAAACATCCGGCTCATGATGTTTGGAGTTTTTATTCATCCAGAAAGAAGATACAGAGAGGGCTGCCAACTTCACCAAAACAAAGAATATCCCGTTTCCAGAATCCTGATTTGGCTGCCTCCACACTGCCAAACTTATTATTCAGAAATCTGTGCTAAGGCTTGAGAGATGAAGGGAACTGAGATCTTCCTATTACACAAACGGGCTGACCAGCCCTCGGAGCTCCTGCCTTGTTCATCAAGACCAGGACGCACGACACAACCCCTCCAGCCCCCACAGAATGGCCTCGGGATTTCTACCACTTCTTGCTGACCCTTCTATCCCATTCCACCAGGCCTTCCCTCCATGTCTTTGGATTCCATCTCCACCACTGCTTCTACAAGCCCACCAGAACCTACCACATGAAATGGTTGATTATTTCACCATCCCCACCCTTTTCAAAGAGGCAATATTGGGTAAGAACATAGACCCTTTAGCAATCATCCTGGATTTCAATATCAGTTCCACCATTCACTAATCGCATAATCTTAAGCCCAGTACTTTACTTCTCTGTGGCTCAGTTTTCTCATCTATAACCTCATGGCTTTGTTGTGAAGATTGAACAGGTATGTGTTGCATGGTTAGGACCAGGTGTAGCATGTTGGATGCAAATTTTAGCTGTTTGTTTTATCATTTGCTCACGACGCAGTCTTTAGTTCCCTTTGGCTCTGAACCTTGACTACTGGACAGTTCTACCCCTCAGGCCCACTTCCCAGCTCTTGGAACATCTCTTCAGAGAGCCAGGAAGAAGAGTCCAAACAGTTAGCTACCTGGGCTATCCTTGTGTCCTGACTTTGGGGTCATGTTATAACAAAGCTTTAATACAACCATGTATCTCTCATCTTTTGAGCAATTTAACCACCTCAAACAAGTCCCAGGTAGACCCAGAATACAGGTAACCTCCCACTACTGTCATCTCTAAAATATACCATCATTTACAGCCACAGAATTATAGCTAGATACTAATTCCTGTCACTGTATTTGAGGAATGTGAGTACTGCATCTTTCCTGCCTATTCCAGCAACTGTCCACTTGAAAAAAACAAAAATATTCAAAGAACAGGTCAATTTAGAAAGTGTTCATGGGAAATCATTGATTCCAGCAAAAAGACACATCAGTATCCCCTAAATCATGAAAACATTGTTAAAATGCTTATTCTTTGTTTTATTTTCTGCCTGTCTTTTGTTCATTCCCCAATCCCATTTCACTGTTTCTAGAACCATGCTAACATATTGGATAGCCTTGAATTCCTAGGAATTTTTGTTTAATATACAATGTCTTGTGTATATTTTAATGTAAAATGCATTGATTTATAACCTCATAATCAACAAAGTTTATTGATTTATACAGATTTTGATTCATTCTCTTTATTAATCATTCAATAGTGTTCTTACAATATATTCATGTTGCTTTATGCACATATAATTTGTTGCTTTTAATTACTACAGAGTACTCCAGAGTGTGTTGTCATGACAGTTTTACCTAACCACTCAATGCTTGCCATTTAATTAACAACAAAAATATTAACATCCAACAGTTAATTTCATATTTGATCAACCTGATCTAAAGTCACAGTGATTCTAGTAATTCACTGAGGGAATTTTTCCTCCAATCTTTCACATAGTGTTTCCACCTGAATTAGTAAGACAAATGATTCTTTCACTTTCTGGTAAAGATACATTCAGAGAAATAAACATTTTTTGTTTTGAATTCTGATTATTGGCATCCAACATGCTTTGTTGATAAAAGTAAATATCGTTCAGAGATACAGAATGATACAAAACATAGACATCTTATAAACTTTGTGGAAATAGGCCATGAATAAAACATAAATTGTAAGTCTGCCATTTTTTTCAGCACATTTTAATTATAAAAAGATAGGAAATGAACGAGATCCCAAAAATGTTTGCTCAAATTCCTACACTGCAGCACTATGATATAATGCAATATTGGAAACAATTTAAATGTCTATCGGTAGGAAACTGGAGCCTAAATAAAATACGGAATTTTATGGAACTGTAAAAACTGAAGTAATTCTGTAAGTACTGACACAGAACCCTCTTAAAAATACACTGTTAGTGAAAAAAAGAAAGCCACAGAAGAGTATTTTTCATATGATTCCATTTTTGTAAAAAAAAAAAAAAGGAAAGGAAATATACACATTTAATAATGTGTATATAGCAGGATTGCATGTACTAGAAAATATCTGAGAAGATTCAAATTCCACAGAGGGAGAACAAAGTCTAAGAGACGGAAAAAAAAATTTTACCTTTTAATTTTTGTCCTGCAGTACCATTTACGTATGTTTGGTTGTTTACAACAAGTATGTATTAATTTCATACTAAACTTTTCTAAACGTAAATAAAAGTACAATGAAAAAGCCTGACTTTTGAAGAAAGTTGGAGATTGATTTTATTTACAAGTGAGGTAATGAAGGAGTCGACCCAGTGACAGCATCATTCAGGCGAATAGAAGCAAATGTAAGAAAAGAACAAAAGAACAGTTCAAGAGATCAAGAAGTCACCCTTGCCCCAAATAATTTATTAAAAGTCAATATAAAGTCAAAATAGCTATTTCCACATCAACACATCACTTACAAAGTGGTGGTATTTTTTTTTACTGCAATGGGAAAGGAATATGAAAAAATTCAATCTAAATAAAAGTTACAATTTTCAGTGAACTGAGAGGTTAGGGGAAAACTCTTTTTTGACCACAAATGCTGACAGGAAGGTGAGTGATAAAATCAGTTGGACATGTTTTTCAAATAGTTAATATGCTAAGAAGTTAATTTTTTTCATTAAAAAAATATTTCCAATGATATACATGCACTTCTTTTTCTTTGATGAGAATTTTGTAAATCAAGTTTAAAATGTACCAATAAAAAAGTTTATATCATCTCAGTTTTGCATAAATATTTTACTTTTAACTTTTAAAATTATGTTTTAATGTTCAGTGCTTCGAAAGAGATAAATTATTTTTATTTTTTTCTCCAAATATTCAAAAATAAAAAGTTCAAAACAGAACTTGGCAACTTATTCAAATTTTGACTGTTTTTCAAATTAGGAAAACTGGGAAAAATGTAAGATATTTTAACAGAAATATGAGAAAGTAAGATATAAATGCAGAACCACTTATATAAGAATAAGTAGGACTTTTTATCCCTGAGAAATTTCCATTTTTAATTTTCCTAAGACAAATAGATTTTTTTAATTAAGAATTAAACATCTGATTTTGTTACTGTATAATCAAACCAATTCTCCAGTGAAAAAGTGCATCTTGAAGTCTTTTCGGGAAAGCTATAATAAAGTGGCAGGCTCACAGGTAAATAGTGGAATCATATCCACCGCAAATAAAACAGTAACAACAAACCTAAGACAATTTGGTGAAACATACTCAGATGTAGAATCAAGAGGTTTTATATTGATAGGCACAAATAACTGATCTCGATTTTCTGTCTACACGATTTTAAATTCTGAACTTTTCACATGTACAAGAAAGATACTAATGTTCCATTATTGTATACTGCACTAAATTTTCTTAAAAACATATTTGCTTATCAGAATTTTCCATAAGATTTCAATGAGAAAAATATTAAAGAGAACATGAAATAAATTCTAGATATTTGCCTTTCAATCTTGCTTACCAGAAAGAAGGCACCTGGAAGGAAATATTCATGATGTTATACTCCCTCTAGTGGGCATTTTATAAATGGATAGTCCAGCGCCCTCCAGGCACACTCCAATACACTCTGGCTTCAGGATTTTCCTGATCCTGAATGGGAAGGGTGTTTGCACATTGTCTAGTCAACAGTTCCTGGGAAGCAGGAACCTCAGAGGAAGTCAGATCACGTCTGATCTAAGTTTCACTCCCTCAAGAAAGCTATTGTTTCTATCTTGGGGTAGCTATCCTTAACAAGTTATGTATATACTGAATCCAAATTCCAGTCTTTGTAACATGTACTTTTGTACTCTTGAAAAAACTGGGAAAAGCATACTCACTTCTCCATTTTGCCCATCTTCAAGTATATTTAGAAAATGGATGGGACACTTGGGTGGCTCATGTCATGATCCCGGAGTCCTGGGATCGAGTCCCACATCAGGCTCCCTGCTCGGCGGAGAGTCTGCTTTTCCCTCTGCCTGCAGCTTCCTCTACTTGTGCCCTCTCCCTCTCTATCTGACAAATAAATAAAAAATCTTAAAAAAAAAAAACGGTTCATAGTAACAGCAGATACTAAACAAGAGAAAAACAATAGGATTAAGAAGCCATTTTTAAAGTACAGATTCAATCAATCAATCAATCTTTAGGTAGGAGTAACAAAGAATGCACTATTGATAATCGGTAAAATCACAAGCAGAAAACGGTTATTTGCCATTATATAATACCCAAAACTGAGTATCGTACCCAATAGCAAATAGTTTATGAAGACAAATATGCCTAATAAATTTTTGTTAATTTGAATTTTTAAAAAAATCTTCCTTTCACTTTATATGAAAACCCATCATTAGTTTCTACTGGGTGGAGGATGTAATGCAACTTACTATTTTTTTAGTCCACAGTGGTACAGGAGCTGTGTGTAGAACCTAAGAGACTTCGAGGGATTTACAGCCCAAAGGGTGAAGCAGAAACATCTGTATGAAGGAGCAGAACTTCGCCACCCAATAAAGAGACGCAAAGCATACCTATCCTACATTTGCTCAAATTTATTTCCCCAGTTTCAAGGTATCATATTGAAATTCCCACCAATATATTATATGTCCCTTGAGCAGAAAAACCCCCTTGCCCCTTTGCCCCTCTAAGCGAGCACAAAACCTACAACTTACTTACTGTTGATGAAGATGCAGCCCCAGGTTTAATGCTTGGATTCACCAGTATTTACTAATTCCCATTTATACCACGTTACAGATTAACTTGCTTTTCAGACCATCTGCTGCTCATGAAAGTGTTTTGAAAAACTAGGGAGAGCAATGAGAATTAGGACATGTCTCAGGGTATGTTATGGTGGAGAAAACGTTGGCAGACAGGGCACTATCAATGTAGGATGGAAGAGAGGCATTGAAAGAAAGAGGCATACTTATCAAGGGCAGTCTAGCTCTGCTATCCCACAGAAAAGGAAGTACAGCTTTTTCAAAAGCAAAGTGTCACCTACCCCAGAGAAAAATTTTAGGACCTTTTCTATAATAATATTAATTTTATCTACCATAGGTCTCCTGGGAAGCTAACTTTGTAAAATTATGACATAATTGCAAGGGTGAGGGGGCAGGTGTGAGGCAGAGGAGAGATATGGGATATGGACAACCAGACGGGAGCAGACTGCCTGATAGACTAGACTGCATGGGCGTGCATGATGTTTGTACACCCACACAACCATGCCAGCACACTGAGCAATCTAAGGCAACTGTTCTCCAAGTATGGCCTGGGATGTCCCCTACAACATCCACCTGCAGCTTTTACAAGCACAATTTCCAAAGTGCAATCCAAGACCTATTCAGTCTGAATTTCTACGGATGTTGTCTGATAAGCAACATATTTAACAAGATCCCAGCTGATCTTCTGTACACATACTCAAGTGTAGGAATCTCAGCACCAGGGATTTTAAAAACATCTTCATAGGTTCTCATAGAGCTGAGCTTTATAAAAGCAGTGGGGATGGGGGAAAGTAGGTTTTGAAATATCAACTACCATGGGGAAAATCATGCATAAACCTTTACAAATCCCTTAGAAATTGCCATTTGGAGACCAACATGCTCTCTCAATTAGATTTCCCTACTAAGTGGGAAGAGAATTTAGCTTTTTTGAAGAAGTACCAGATTACATAATTGTCTAACATTTGAAGGCCATACTGAAAAATATTTATCTTTAAAATCTAGAACTACCTTGAGCTTGGAGAAATTATACTCTGAGAAACCCTGGGCAAAACAGAGACCATCTGGGAAAGCAAAAGCTTAAGTTTTTTTTTTTTTTTTTTTTTTGCTAACCCAGAGAAAGTACCAAGGAACTGAAAAGACAGATTTACTGATTTATTAGTTCATGTACTCACACTAACAACTGTATATAGGTGTTACGTTTAAGGACACAATATTGAGATGATGAGTTAAATTAGTGTAATCCTAACTAATGAGAGTTTGCTGTACTTCCAGAACATAGCATCATGAAAACTTATAAACTTAGGGTGAGAAACCTCTTAACAGATACTTTATTTTCAATTTGATACTTTAAAATGTATTAAGAATTCAAGTTAAGTGACAGAAAACCATAAGGACAACTACATGGAGGTAAACAGAAATGAGTTTTAATCATTCACAATCACTCACAAAAGAAGGAAGTTAAACCCATTTTTCTATAGGAATGATCTATTTATTCACTTTAAAGAGTCATGGCTTTCTGGCTTATTTAGTTGATGTTATTAGTTATTTAAATATTTCATAGTTATCACCAACCTTCTCCTTATAAACCTGGCCTATGATTCTGAATACTCTACTGTAAGGTCCATTTACATGAATTGCTGGGTCTGGGGACTTGACTGTCTTCTATGTTCCTTGAAAACATGTCAATGCCTTATTACCCCACACATATCTGACTGCCACTATGTCCATCAATAATATCATAGAGACCATAAGTAGTCTCACTGTACCATCATCTCATGGAAATCTTTATAGAGCATCACTTTCAGTGCATTGCAAAATGTCAGCAGTTTTGTGGTTCTAAAGCAACAGAAAATCTTCCAAATAAACATCATGCATCTCCAAAAAAACAGTGATAGTGTGGCCAGAGTGATTATAATTAAAAACACATTCTCTATGCTTAAGGAAGTCAGCTGCAGGGGCATTGAAAGAGCTACATGAATTTATGCTTTTATTTTCTCAGCACTCTTTCAATCATAAACCTAGAAGAGTTTTGATACAAATTTCCTTTTTGCTATAAGTGCATTTTCAAATGGGAGAGAACATTCTGCTACGTATTTACAGTGAAATACCTCATGTGTGCTTGAATCCATTTCTATTGACGAAGTCTCAATATTCTGATGCCTAAGCTTTCATGTTTTATTCCTAATTCCACACTAGGGATCAACTACACTTCCTTCTCAACCCCTTCTGTTTACTTTCTCAAAAATCTGTGTGAACCTGAAGCACCGAGTCCCTTGTATCTACAGCACCGCTGGGCCATGGCCTCTCCAACATTAGATAAACTGTGGCAACATCACCTGTGTTATTTTGAGAATTTGTCCATATGTCATTTTTAAAGCAAAGCAAAGCTATGAACAGATGATGGGAGTCTTGGGGAAAATAAAAGAAAAGTTTATCTTTTGAAATCCCCTACTTATTGCTAGTTCTTTTTGCCATAAGTCTCCTACTAGCCGCATTCTGTTGCCCTGCCACACCAGAGGGGCACGGTTCTTTAATCCTACCTTCCACCCCTGCTTTGTGGAGGTAGGAATGGGTGAGAAGAGCGATTCTCGAGACAAGAGAGAGAAGAGAAGAAGGGAATAGTAAGAATCTGGCAGTATTCTAAAAATTATGATTAAAAAAATAAAAATTATGATTTAGTACTATAATTTTCTACTTTGAAAAAATATTTTTTTCGTAACAAAGGCTTCAGAGAGCAAACTTCAACTACAACTTATTTGCTGATATATCAGTTTCTCACTGTTGCTGTAATAAATTACCACAGACTCAGTGGGTTAAAACAACCCAAATGTATTACCTTATAGTCCTATAGGACAGAATTCCAACATGGATCTCAATGGGCTAAAATCAAGGTGGGAGCAGGGGTGCATTTCTAGAGGCTCTGGGAGCAAATCTATTTCCTTGCCTTTTCCAGCTTCTAAAAGACACCTTGATGTCTTGTTTTTTGGCCCTTCTTCCATTTCACAGCCAGCAGTGATGCATCTCCCTGACCATTCCTCCATCGTCAAGCCTCCCTGACTCTCCCCCTGGCCTCTGTTCCCACTTTTAAGGACCCTTGTGATTACTGCCCCCCCCCCCGCCATATAATGCAGTGGAACCTATTTAAAGTAGGCTGATGAACAACCCTAATTTCATCTTCAATCCTAATCATCCTCTGCCATGTAAAGTAATGTATACACAGATTGTGGGGATTAGGATGTAGGCATTTTTGGGAACCATCCTGCGGACAACCACTAGCGAGGATAGTCATAACATGGTCATTATTCATCACAGAAGAGGCCCTCCCTTTAAAGGGAGGTGTAAAATGCACATCAAAAATGTGGTGGAGCATGAAATATTTAACTCCATCAGAGGGTGACCAGATGAAGGAAGGCTGGGCAAGTGGCTTAGTAATAATATTAACTGTTTGGGAGGTGGTTTGTTTGGGTGGAGAAGGCGAAAACATTTATGTGGGAGCTTAGATTTTAGCCTTAAGTCTTCAACACAGGACTTGTGTGCCTTTGTCAAAGCCACTCTGTCTGTGAAGAGTGTTTAAATTTATTACTTTATTATTTTAATAAACTAAATGTTTAATTTAAAAGCCACTCGTCCCGCTATGAAGCCAACGTTTGGATTTGATGGTGCCTGAAACAACTCAAGTAATCTCAAAGTGAAAATAAGTACTATAGCTTTGGCTAGTTCCCAGCCCAGAAGTTTGTATGTGTGTGTAATATCTGCAGGAAAGCGATTCTGCACTTTTGTTTGGGGTGCTCCCTTCATGCTTTTGATGGTTACTGATCCATTCCTTTTCATTTGCTCCTTCTACTAGGCTATACATTTCTCAGAGAGGCATCACAAATGAATAACAGCGGTCATAAATGCTAATACCTGTAGAAGCCAGGCAGTGAAGACAATGATACAGAGTCTGGTCATTAAGGAGTGGTGGGGCTTGTGGAAGATTAGAGCGTGTGCCCCAGCGAAAAAGGAGTAGCTACTCCTCAGATTGGAATCACTTGCCTTGCAAAAAATAAAGTCCTCTTATTGCTAGGTAGCTGCATTTTTACAATGAAACTTACCAATTGTCAAACATAGGCAACAATTTCATATTTTAACATAAGTATGAAAATAACCATACCCATAGGTAAAATCCTGCTGGAGGGCTTCCAGTGTGTGAAATCCGGTGAATTTTCTAGTTCTTATAAAGCTAAATGCTATCCAATGTCACTCAACATAAGAGGTATACATAATAATGTTCTCACATGCTTGTGAGAAAGAACATAGTTGTGTACTGAGTAAAGGGGTGGACTATCCAGTATTAAAATATGACAATATTTTCAAACCTTTCTCCATTTTATTTTTATGATTTCCTATGAATCATAGGGGACTTTAAATAAACTTCCTTCACTATCAAAGCATAAATCAAGTTTTTCAAAAAAATTATTTTGATATGAGACGTGTGAGAGGAAAGACTTGGTTTGTGCTTTTCACAGTAAGATCATTATGGTCATTGCTCAGAGACTGAACATCATAAAACATAATCATTGAGGGCTGAATGCCATGTTTTAAAGGTCAAGGTCAGTAAAATAAGTACAAGCACATTTCACAACTTTTGTGACACAGGAAAGCCTGCAAAACACACACACACACACACACACACAGTACTGTATATAAGTATGTATGCATGCACATACAGAGATACATACAGATTCTGTTTTCCTGCTGAAATAATCAGGGTGCACAACGAAGTCCAAACAAGAATAGCAAATTCTACCACCAGGTGGAGCTTAGCTTCCATTAAAGCAGCAGATATATAAAAAGATTTCAAGAGCTTGTTTGAATTATTTGTATACCTTAAGAAAAGACTGAAGTAAAAAGTACACTTTAAAGGAGACTACGCTTTAAAAGCCTGTTACAAAGGCCAGTTATCGAGGACTTGAAGTATTTTTTATGAGAGTGCACAATTGATCAGGTGCTCAGGGGCCACTCATAAATGATCTGACAACTGACTTCCTTCCTGCTCTTTTCCTTTTCCTTGTCGGAGAATGTTAAATTCCTAACCATTTAAGCACTCTCTGTTAAATAAAAATCACAGGCACCACTATAACAGGACCTAAAGAGTAAAATTACAAAAGAGGATAATTATAAAATTACGCGAAGACTGATATGTGTAAGTTACACATCAGAACATGTATCCTCCGTTAGATGAAATTAAATTTCAGTGCATAAAACATCTAATGCAGTGTCCGAAATAGCTGGTAATAGAAGTTACTTCTGCCACAGTTGCAAATGCGACAACCACTTCATGATTAAGCCCTACCAAGTCAATATTCTCCATGTCTATGAAACGCTCACTGTGTGCTCAAAGCATATCTAGGCCTTGGAGAGCAGCCAATTATAAACTCAGATATGATACTTGTCCTTAAACCATGGAGAAAAATACTATACAAATTAGTGTGCCTGACTCTGCATGTAAACTGTTAGGAATTTGTATCTTCTAAGTACTCTAAGGAATGGAGAGGTCAGGGAAGCTATGCTAGTAGAGTGGAAACAGGACTGAATCTTGCAGGAAGGATGGGCATTGAATCAACAGAGGACAGGCGCCATGCTCCTAGGATGAGCAAGAACACAAGTCAAAGTGCACAGCAGGTGTGTGGTCAGCAAAGCAACAGGCCCGATTGCACAGCAGGTGCATTTTGGCCTAAAGAGTACATTTAGACAGGAAATTTAGAGAGGTGGATTAAGATGATGGGCCCTAGTGAAAGACAAATGGTGGATTTACTTGCTAGAGAAGTAGGTAGAACATTACTGAAGATTGTGGGTCAGTAATGCAGAATGCGGAGAGCTTCATTTACATGGCTTAGCGAAGGGAAAGAAAATCTGGGAGGCTCACTCAGTGTTAAGCCTGCCTGCCTGCCAAACTTCTTTTACACCTGTTACCAACATTTACTATTCTAGTTTCAAGGAAAATAGAGGTGTGTGAAACATGTCCTCTACTTTTAAGTTGTCTAGTGGTAAAATACTATAAGTTCTGTAATGGCAGGAAAAGAACTATGTAAGTATAGATGCAGAGGCAACGATTAAAATATGTATAAAAAGATAACAGAATAGAGCAGGTCAGGCAGTAACAATGTGTTAAAAGGTGCAAGGCAAAAGAATAGAGTTACCAGGAAATGGCAAGAGGTTTGTTGGTGTGTGTGGCATATAAGGCATGAGTAGCTTATAGTGATGAGGGCAGAAACCAACACGATGGCAGAAATGGAGAAGTGAGCCTAGATTTAATGGATAATTCAAAGAAAGATACAGAGATGCATAAGGAACAACTGTGGGACAAGGTTAAACAACAGGGTCCAAAACTCCCAAAGAGGGATTAGAGTGGGGCACTATTAATATTGACAAGATGTGAATTTGGGGAACAAATGAAACTTGAGAAGGAAAAGAGAACCTCCGTTTTTTAAGTTTAACTTAATAGTAACAAATCCAAGGGTAAACATTTTTGGTAAGTAGGATCTTTACGTGGTATTTGTTGGGTGGGGAGGGGTTCAGGAGAGACCAGACAACGGTGCTGAAATGAGTAGCAGTCATCATCTGCATCCCTCTTTTAATACTTACTATATGGAAGCCACAATTACTTGAGTAATTCATTTGTGTTTTGTTTTTTGTGCTTTTTCCTCCCACTTATATTTAGAGCTTGTACCCTGGCTTTATTCTTGCTGTGGGGATTTTGGAAAGAGGGAAAGCAGAAAGAACCTAAAATTACAGGTGCTGTTGTTCTGGTGTAAAAGCCAAATTCCATTAGATTTACTAATGATCCCTGAGTAATGGGAACAGAGGAAAGACTTTAAGGCAGGAAGAGAAACAGATCAGGAAGGGGATGATGGGACCCAGGTTGGGGTTTTATTGTTGGCCCCGTGAGAAGAGTGGGGACTGACAGCTGAGGACCAGAGGGGCAGTTAGGATGCTCTGATGCTTCTTGAGACCCAGGGACTTCCTAGACTTCCTATATCCCTGATGTGAAAGGAGCCTGCAGGATGCCTGAAGTCGACTTTTACTCTAACCCCATAGGATTGGAGCTTGGAATCAGATATAAGTTGGTTTTTTAAACATAGGTATTTTTAGACACACAAATTTATGAATTGAGATTCCGACACATTACAGAGGCTCCAATGGAGTCTTAGATATCATGTGATCTAGGTGTTCCATCTCTCTTGCTAAACAATATTGTACATTTCTCAAGGGTTTATATCTGAACAGATAAAGGCTTAATTAAAGGGTGTTGATACTGTTGAGAGACTGAAATTAAATTTCATGCCTGAAAGGGACCTTAGCAGGTTACTGTTACATTTGATGAAAACTGGCATTAACCAGATAGTAAAAACTTAATGCTTAGCCTCAAGGAGATTACATCTTAAAAGTGGACAGAGATGTATGAAGAGAACATTTCAATAAAATATGTAATCAGTAAGTGAAGTTATCCACTGGTGCTATGTGAAAACTGGTAAAAGAGGATGTGCTGTCTTACTTGAAGGCTTCAGGAAGAAATTAAGTATGAGCGTAAGTGAAATCTTAATGACTAAGGCCATAATGAGACAAAGGATCTTCCACCTCAAATGTCCAAACTTTCTCTCCTCTGAACTCCTATCAATGCCAAATATACCACTTATTTCCCTTTACCACATCACTTTCCATTGTCATAATTTTCATTTGTTTTTCTCACCTTGCCAGAGAAAATGCCATGGAGAATAGGAATCCTATTTTATCTCCTTGCAGAATTTCCATAGGACCTAGAGGTCTTGAACATAAGAGATGCTCAGTAAGTCTGGATTTGGTCTGCTGTGTAGTTCTCATCTTACTCACCAGGAGACACACATCTGTTGCTAATGACTAACTCTGCCAGTTGGCCTGAGGCCTATAGAAGAAATCAAAACAAAAACTGGAACACAACTGATTAAGTAGATTCTCAACAGTTTTTATCACCGTATCTATTATTAGTCATTTCTTAATGTCATTTATAACATTTCTTATAGTTACTGATAACTTTTTGATCCTATTGATGAGAAGTGTAGAGGAAATTCAAAAAATGCTGGATCTTGGCACTGGCCGTGCCCCCTGTGAGTTGTGTGATCTCAGGAATCTCACCAGCCTGTAGAAGCTTCAGGCTCATCTGCCATATATGGGCTAACTGAGCTCTCATGACGGGTACATCAGATATGCAAACATTTTTAGGAAAAGATTAAAATGCAACTTAATGGTAACTAGTATTGAATAACTATCCCTAAGCACTCTTTTGCTCTAATAAAGATGACAGAGATTGTGTAAAGAAAAAAAGGCAGAGTCCTTCTTTTACATACTTCACCCTTACTTTGTGTCACTTTTCAAAATGGTCTTTATTTATGTCCCATAAAATATTTCTCCCAGTTAGATAAGAGATATTTTTTGGGAAAAAAAAGATCATTGTCTTAGTGTTGCAAGTTGACCATGGCTAAGACTAAAAAAATCCAGACTTTAGGAAATGTATCACTATTCACACTATTTTCTGGTTAACGTGTTGGCCACATGACAATTTGTCTTGAAGAGAAGGGATGATCGTGCCATCACCCACTTGGGGGAGTGTCTCATCTTGAGATATGACAGGTTCTTCAAGTGAGGGTGCAGTAGAGGGTAGGCACTGCTTGCTCTCTGGTCCAGAAATGATGGGGCCCAAACCTTCAGCAATCCAGTGTTTCTGATAGTGAGCCAAGTGGAGACAGGCCTGATGTGAGTGACAGTCTACCTTTGCTTCTCACTCGCAGCAGAACATATCCATGCTGCAACAGAAAGATGACTCCTTGATCAAGCTCTCTGAGGGAGCTGTAAGAACATCCAAGATCGATACCCCAGATACAAGGAATCCCTCCTCTGGGGCTGCAGTGGGACACACAGGCAGAGACAGGACGAGAGGTAGCAGAGCCCAGAGTGGCTTTCTCATGAGCGTCACTAGTAACAGAGGTTATAGTATGGCAACGCAGCGAAAAATAAAGAGTAAAAGAAATGAAGGGACTTATTTCTAGAGCATTCATGAAATTGCAGGGAGGATACTGTGAGTCAGGTTGGCCACTGGTGGAAACCACATGGGTTCATTTTAACAATGTGGGTTTACAAAACAAGAGTGTGAAATCACTTTACGTCAGGGGCTAGGTGAGGCCTCCATTACTAAATTTATACAATTACTTAAAAATTGTGTTGAATCTGCATTGCCAATCAGTATTGTTAATTATGCAAATTACTATGTATTTATTGTGTATGAGGTATATTTTCTCTATTTTTCCTATTTGAGATACACTTTGCTAAATCAGCGATAGTGAATCTCTATAAGTTCTTCCTACACATGCATACAAAGCACAAGGTCACAGTGCATTTTTTATAACAATTCTTAAAAAAAAAAAAACGTGGACATGAAAATAACATATTCACACTTTTTTCTTTCTCTACATTCTCTCTCCACACACATATTCATATACATATGCACACACACAGAAAATGAAGAAGAAATTAATAGAGATATCATAATGATAATAAAACTTTTAATAGCTTAAAGGAAATTAAAATTAAGGGGAAGTTTTACATTTAAGTTTTATTTCTGGAGGAAATAAAGGAAATAAAGAGACCACAATTTTCAATTCACATGCTGAGATAGATAGTTGGAAGAAGAGACTATATCAAAAAAACACCAGAGGAAAAATCCCCAGTCCACCAAACTGTCATTCACTGTAGTCACAGATTAATGTAGATGTGTAGCATCACTAATTATTAGTGATAAAGATAAATAATTTACATATTACATATTTTATCTGCTGAAATAATATCAAGCAGGAGCTTCAGAGTTGAAAGTTTGTTGATATTAAGGAACTAAAAGTTAGTGAAAGAAAAATGAAACTCCATTTAGGCAACATATATACGTTTGGGAAAAACTAGTGGTATGCATAACTCCATCATTAACCCAAATCTTTTAATATCCATTAAGATTCCCAAACCAAAGCCAAGAATATTTGGTCTATAGTTGCCTCTCCTGGCTGTCCCATGAAAGCATATTGCACTGATCTTCAATTCCTGGTTCCTGGTAGAACTTACGGATATTCCCACTGGGATACTCAAAATTCTTAATTTGTTTACACGTTTTGGCTTCTTTCCAGACTTTATGTGAACAGTAACTGATCCAAGAAACAAACAGGCGGAAATGTCTCTGAATAGCATTCTTTGACTATCAGGTCATACATACCTCCATTCAGTGTAAGAGGGAACTAAATTCCTGAACTGGGCCGTTCAATAATACATTTTTAACACTCAGGGGGGATTAAAGAGAATCATTTTTCTATTCAAACAAGAAAAAGGAACTATGAACTTAACAGGGTCTTAAAAACACACACAGGATGGGAGAGAAATTCCTTCAAACTATTGAAAAAATTAGTAACATGCAGATTTTATCATCTATTTCCTTCTCCTCAAAGGGATGTTTGTTATCCACTTAGACTGAAGAGCTTGCCTTCAACCAAATTAAGGGCTCAGATGTAAAGAATAAGAAAGGGGAAAAAAAGAAAAACCTCACATACCAACAAACCAACCAATTTCAATAGCCCATTTTATAATGAGGTAGAACAAAGAACAAAATGGATAGCTCCAGAATGGCAAACCTCCAGAAACCTCATTCAGTTAATCTTCAAGATGCTTTGCCAAACCTTATCCAAATAACCCAATTATTACAGTCTACAGACTAGTGGAAATTCTTACAAAATTGGCTTCCTTGTGGAATCTCAAATCATGTCTCCATTCGGGTCAAAAAGATCACTAGGATTGCCTTGGTGAAGTTTTTGCCTCTGGGCTGAGCTGCAATTTTGCAAAATGGAAAATGAGGGAATGCATCCAGGTAAAATTCTGGATGCAGATTTAAATCAGATTTTTTTTAAAAAAAAAACCTTAAGTAAAGAACAACCCTTCCTAGTTATAATCTCATTCCTGGAAAAACTGTCCAGAGAGAGTCAGAAATTCTGCATCCCCAAACCCAGTTTGGCTTTCAGTATGCTGGGCGATCAGGCGTTCCTTAATCTCTGCGTATGAGTTTTTGCAACTGTCACGTCGCAAGGTTGATACAGACCTACCTCACAGAGACCCTGCAAGGATTAATTAAGGGTAAACTGGAAGGGAAAAAGTGCACTTAACAAGTCAGGCTTTATCCGTGCTGCTAAAGAGACCCAGATGTTTTAACAACCGCTCAGATTATTTGGTAGCATCCTCAACTAAGTAGAGAATGAATTTACATAATGCATTTCAGCTGTGAAGACATTTGTAAAAATCAAAGATTTCAATATTTCAGATGGTAAGAGAAAACAATCTGGCTCCTTTCCGATCTAGCGCATCACACTGGACACCATTCACCCCCAAATCTTCCCATTGAGCAAATATTGTGATATATGCTTAGGACTGTCTAATGGCTAGGGAAGACTCCTCACACCTAGGCATTTTTCTAGACTTTCCTTTCTCCTATAAACATGATGAATGGATTTCTGCTTCTCTTTGCATGTTGTCTTGTGTGCTGGGACATAAATGGCCCTACACAACTCTGGTTCATCAAGAAAGTACTTACTTCTACTTTTTAATCTTACACTTTCGTTATTTACGTATGTCTGATCATTCACTGCCTGAGCAAACTCCTACAACTTTAGAGCCCACAGAGATGGATGGCACTGATAGTAACTGTAGGTCGCTATCAGTCCTTGTTGAGTATACTGACATGTGCAGATCCAGGGACGTTCCAAAATATGTTTGTGTGTTGGGGGTGGTGATGGGCAAAGGAAAGGAACATTACAGAAACAATGGAAGACAATGGGATTGAGCCTTTTTTTTTTTCTCTTGCTATTTAAGAAAAAAAAAAGGTATTTGAGATTTCCATCTTTGAGGATCATTCTTTAAGGGATCTTAGAATAGTATGTTTTGTAATATTGCATTGCACTGTGTTAGGAATATAAGCTCTAAAGTGAGAGAAGCCTATTTGAATCTCGTTTCTCCCACTTGCTGCTTGGGTGAGTCTGAATATGTTTATTTAAAATGTATGTGCCTTGGTTTCCTTGTTTTTTAAATAGAGATTGGTATAGTACCAGTACACAGAGTTATTCTGAAGAAAAAACAAAGGTAGGCAAAGCATGAAGAACAGTTTCTAGAACAAGAGTAATCATTCAATAAATGTTAGCTATTTTTACTATTATTTTAAGTGCCTGTATTTTAACTCAAAATCATCTTAGGCCTAAGAAAGTTTAACCTCTTTTGTAAATTTTTCTAAAACATTCAGGTCTATTTTTCTCTTTTCATAACTATTGAAAACCTTCAGAACCTTCTCATACTTTGGGATCATGACTCTGACCAGCATTTCTCCTCATAAGCATTCTACTTTAGCAACATGTGTGTCTCCAGATACCTCCTAGGCTTGTGAGGACAAATATGTCATGCACCGCCACAGAGCTTCTTGACTACCACTTGGCGTGCAACAAAGTTTCAAAACTTACTACTAGCAAAAAACAAGGAGCATTTATGCAGCTCACCTGCCTGGTGGAGGTCACCTGAACTGGCCTAGGGAGCCCTGCTGATCTCAGTTGGGCTTCTTCATCCATTTGTTGATTAGCTGGAGATCGACTGATCTGGGCTTTGTTTTCCTTTTGGAGACAGCGGGCCGGGCAGGACATGTTCCTCTCAAGGTGGGGGCAAGAGCAGAAAGGAGCAAGCAGCAACATGCAAAGTCTCTCGAGGCTAGCCTCAGTCATGCACGGCCACTTCGGCCTCACTCTACTGGTCAGAGCAGGTTACACGATGAATCCCAAAGTCAACAAATGCACATATATTCTTCCTATGGGAGCTGAGTGGAGAGAAAGAATATTTCTGAACCAGAATTCAATGCACTACGCCCATGCAGACATTGTTAACTGATCACAATACTCTTTTCCATTGTGACTGAATAGAGCTTTTATATCCTTAATGGCCACTGTAATTGCTAGGATACCTGCTAAATATGAGGGGAAGAAGAAAAAAAATCTAAATGAGACTTCTGATTTTGCAGATTTTTAATATATCTTACAGAATAATAAATCTGGATCTCAAATTCCATCTGTAATATAAAACATCACACTGTTACTTTTTTGAGAGTAAATGTTATATTTAGTTATTCAATTGTGATCAGGTTAGTATGAAAAAATATGTATATACACACTAAATATCAATGATAATTGCCATTGGATTTTAAAATACCATTAAGTATTTAGTTATTTATCAATCACGTATTTTTTCTTAAAAGAGAATATACTGAGAATCTTTAATAGTGTGTTACTTTTCATTTAAAAAATGCACACATTTTTTAATTTTGAAACTAAAAATGTACAAGAACATATATAAATGGTACAATGCCCAAACCACCCACAAGCCAGTTCTAATTCACTTATTTTGAACCGTACTAACAAATCCTAAAATGATACATACTTTTTCATTTATTCTGTTTATTTTTTAATTAAACTTTGAAAATAAATTCACTTTTTCTTCATCAAAATGGCTGTAACATTTTAATTCAAATATTATTTACTCTTCCTTGGCCTAATTAGTTTCAACATTAAAAGGAAATAAAATTTGCAGATTTAATATAAGAAAATGTTCTACTGCAACTTGATTTTTATAAAATGATCATTATATTTACATGTACTAAGTAAAATTTGATAGTGATAACCAGCATGAAAAAAAAAAGAGTTTACCTGTTAAACCAATGCAAAACGTTTGAAGTGACCACAGGAAGAATGGCTCTGGTAGAACATAGGGGTCCAATTCTTACCCATAAATTCATATACTTCCAACAACTTATCTCTCAAACTGAGCAGTTTTATGAAAAAAAATTGCACCTCTTACCAATATGTCATTAGCCAAACCACTGATCACACTGTTAAATTCCATAAAAGTCTAACTAAATTGCATTTAATTAACTAGCAAACATTTAGAAAGAAAATAGTTATTCACAAAATTTTCCACAGGTAGAAAGCAATTTGGGCAATGCTGAAGCATAACTTAACTATTATTTTAGGAGACATTTTAGAAAATAAAGTGAAAATAGACAGTTCCCATGAAAGAAGCAGTGATGAAAATTTAACAATAAAGTTGCCTCTGGATCTCTCAGACACTAAGAACAACCAATTTATCTTTCTCTCTTGGCCAATAATTCTTTCCATTTCCTTCACCCCTAGCTACAATTTCTGTATGTTGGAAAGATGGCTGGAAAGCTATAAGCTTCAGGACTTTCCTCTGGTCATTGGGATGATCTGTCCCTCTTTGTCCATTCCCCCAGTGCTCACTGAGAGCTTCTGGCTTACTTCCCACAGCCTCTCAGCTGGATGTCCTTTGCCAGCATCATAATTAAACAGGGAGCTGAGCTTCAAACTTAGCATTAGTGGTCCTGAGTTTAATCTCTACCTCTTGTTATTAGGCAGCCACAGGGCTCTCCACAAGGTAGCTAAGATCTCTGAACCTCAAGTTCCATCCACACAATAAAGGATGTGGGAAGACTTCTTCAAATTATTTTCAAAGCTGTCAATCACTTTGTAAACTGTAAGGAAAAAAATCAAATGAGATGATAAGGGTGATGCGGAAGGTGGTGATTATTTCAGTCACAGTTTAAGATTGCCTAGGGTAAAGTCATTAATCATCGCTCCCAGATAAATTCTTGTCTGGCTCAACAATCCATTAATAATTTGGAATTTAAGATGACTTAACCAGCACTCAATTGATACAGTAATTTTGCTGTGCCATAGATATACTGTTTCTGCCTTTTACTTAAAGTCACTTTCTCTTTAAAACCCTGATAATATTTTCCTATTTGCCTTTATAACCACTTCCGAGTCCTTAAAACATTTTCACCTGAAGACTTCAAAAGGTTCATGTGTGGACCTTTTCACAACAGTCAACCCACCGCCTTAACAATGACACAGATGTTCTAGCCCCAAAATCTACACATTGCCCACATACTTTCACCATCACAGTTTTGAATTAAATCATTCATGCTTTTTATCATCCCTAGAGAAAGAGAAAAAAAAAAAGTGGTAAGCCCAGGAATTTAGATCCAAGCTACACTGAAATAACACATTTCATTTAGGAGTATGAATTGAAGTAATTACTCCATTATATTCTACTATTACTTAAATGTAAAATATAAACTCTCCTACTAATATAGGTCCTAGATAAAAACAGGGAAAATCATCCAACATGTTAAGAAGAAATTTTATAGAAATTGTCACAGTTTAACTGATAACATCTCATGCAACTTCTATAGTTTCCACAAGTAACCTAAGCCTTGGAATCTGATCTAATGTGTAAAAAGAGAATAAAAGTTATCTCTAATGATTGTATATACATTTTTTGCAAAATTTAATGTAAGCAAAAATCATTTACACTTTTAAGATGTATATACCAGTGGAAATTTGAAAGAGTAACAACATGATTTTAAAAGACAGCAATATCAGGGCACCTGGGTGGCTCAGTCTGTTAAGAGTCTTACTCTTGATCTAGCTCAGGTTTTGATCTCAGGGTCGTGAGTTCAAGTCCTGCATTGGGCTCCATGCTGGGCGTGGAGCCTACTTAAATAAAAATTTAAAATTAAAAAGACAGTAGTATCTGTATCAAAAAATAATTTATGACTCCCTACCTTTCAGAAAAGACTAACTTGGGACTGACCAAAATAATTTCACTTTTATGAAGATTTTTGGTCTTCTTTTAAAGGCATTCAGAAAAATCAGAGACCTTTTAAAATAAGTCAAAATTATTTTTCATAAACCAAGGAAAACATAGAATTTTAAAACAGAAAAGCAGGAGGGAATTACATCTCCTTTATGGATCTAGAGTAATGTGAGGCCAACAGTGAAAATATTAGAACCAGAGTTCCCTGTTGTCTCTTTTATTTATTTTTTAAGGTGTGGAAAATTAGAAAACAAAAATATCAGTTGCTAAGAGGACAATTTTAGAATTAAAAATTATTCTCAATTTTTTTACTCATTTCATGATAATGTGATTTACTAATTAACACAGAGATTAGACCACAGTTGAAGTTCTCTAAATTCTCATTCCTAGGAAGATTAGCTCATCCATCATGATTTCTATTTGATTTTTCATGCCTTTGCAGAAGATTACATGAAGGTTATTACTTTCCATTTGCATATTTTCTGATTAATTTATATTTGACATGCACAAGAGTATTTTTTTCACAGATATAAACACTGATTCATTTCTATAACCCAAACGTCACATCCTACAAACTGTGAGACATAAAAGACAACTTAAACATTCTACCACATACAATAGGGAGGGAAGCACAGCAGAGATACCTAGGTAAATGTTTCTAAAAACCTGGTACATAATTTTCTCTGTGTTCTTCATGCTACCAGTAGCTGACCAACAAGTCCAGAATTTCTTTCTTTGATTAAGGTGGCAATAATTGTGACTCCTTGCCTTAAACTTGCCTGTAGCCTCTGCTCATCCTGGAAAAAAAAAAAAAAAGGATAAAACAATAATTATTTTAAAAAGAAAATATGTCACACATTAAATTTAATAGTTACTTTTATCTTTTAATATTTCTTCATTTTTAGTTTTTTTTCCCATCAGCTTTATAGAGATATATTTGACATGTAACATTGTGTAAGTGTAGGGTGTACAATGTGATGATTTGATATACCTATATATTATGAAATGATTATTACAAAAAGGTTAGTTAATCCATCACCTCATACAGTTACCATTGAGGGGTAGTGAGAGCATTCAAGATTTACTCTCTTAGCAACTGCCAAGTATACGATATTGTTAACTATAATCACCATGCTATACATTAAAATCCCAGAACTTATTCACCTTACAACTGGAAGTTTTTACGCTTTGATCAACATCTCTCATTTCCTCCACCACTCAGCCCCTGTCCACCACCACCCTCCTGTTTTTATGAGTTCAGGGAGCCACTTTTCAAGGTCCCCTGCTCTCTGGACTTGGCACCCTCTGGAACTCAGACCATAGCTACTGGTATGCACGTCGTCCCTCAAATAAAGGAGAAATGCTTTTGCAAGCACTTTTCATTATATACCAAATGTATCTGCTGAAGATACCAAGAAAACACTGACACAATTTCAAATCCTAGCAGTATGAAACAAAAGATTTTCCCTTGATCCAATATCTGACCAACTTTGGCTCTTCACTCAAGTGTGAATATTTCACCGATGATGCAAGCCTTTCCTTCATCTTGTTTCTGAGTGTTCTCCAACAAAAGACTTTGTTATAAACTGTGAATACTGGTCTGGGAGGAAAAATAAAAATGGCTTGTTGTTTGTGAAGTAAGGATCAGGCACATTAGTGAAATGAGTTTCTCACAAGTTGCTAAAATGTGGTTTTGCCTGTGAAATCATATTGCCTATGAATATATGTTTACTCCAACTGTTTAGGTTTCCTGAGGGGGATGAAGGGGAAGAGAAAGTCAAAACAGAGCTAATATCTTTAGGGTCTCTGTGTTGTGAATTGTGCTAGGTTCAGGAAGAGGGACCTGGTAACCAACTTCTAAATGCTGGCAACATCCTTAACACCTTTTCCTAGTGTTCAGTGTATCACTAGTACCTACTGCTTCTACCTTCTTATCGTTTCTTGAATCCATTTACTCCATTCAAACTGCCGCTGCCAGCAAAACATCTCCATCCTCAATTACTGAAACAATCTCATAAACAGCCTCTCTGAAGTCTTGTCCTCTTCTACCCTGTTTCCCACACAGCAATCAAAATACTTATTTTAACATATAGATCTGATCACATTACTACCCTGCCTAAAATCCTTTCAAGGCTACCTCTGAACTTCAGGGTCAAATCAGAACCCTTTACATTTATATCCTTCCATCCTTTTTCTGCCATTCCCTTATAATCACTCAATTCCCCAAGCCACACAGAACTGCGTTAAGATTGCCCAAACAAGCTATTTTTCTAAACTTTCATTCCTTTGCCAGGAAAGCTATCTCACTCCTTTCCTGGATTAGCTGACCCTAGTTATTCTTTGTGGTTCCACCCAGTTATCAATGGTTGCAATCTACCCGGATCCCTATCCCCCAGCCCAGTTGGGTGAGGCGAATTTCTGTTTCCACAGCTATTAATTCCTCCAGCACACTGAATTCTAATAGTCTTTTTAGTTGACCATCTATTCCCCCAGATGATGAGTTTCTTGAGGTAAAGAATTTTTCATTTTGTCTTTGAATATGGAATACTTAGTTCAATGCCTACCACATGTAGCACTCCATAAATTATAATGAATTCAAAGCAAAGAAGGCTATGATAGAGGTATCATCACCCTTTCAGTTTAACTCATTTGTTAACATTGACCACTTTTTGGTTACTTTGTTTACTCCTATTTGCGTATTTGGCGGGACGCCTGGCAATGGTACAAAGAATATTATCAAAACCTTTCCACTACCACACCTTCATCAGCCCAGAGGCCCTAGGCTCCTCATCTATGAGGATGGTGGTGAGACCACCTCTGCTTCAACTACACTTTTCCATCAATTTCCCTGATTGTGTTCTAGGGGGTGGAGCTGGGGAAAACCCACAAGGGTTAAATCGTGGCTACTTTGCATCTTGTGAGTTTTAGTGACATTTAGTATTGAATTTCAAAGGCTGTACTGGCTTCCTGAATATCACAAGACCTAAATCACATATGAACCATTCTAAAGCCAAATATGTCTGGACTTAAAATGTGATTCACTTATATGGGAGTAGGTATCATTCATGCCACTTCATTCATAAATACATACATAAATATTCTAAAATGGAACAAAATACAAATTAACTCTAAATATGTATTTGTCCCTCTTAATGATTAATTACAATATTGCAGAGTTTATAATACACGTCTACGCCTGTCTTATTTATTAAATTGAGACATAGATGATGAAAATTAGTTTCCCCTTTAAAAATAAACAGAAAAAGACTATCTGTATAGCCTCTTTGAAACCTGTTTATACTTATCATAATGAAAGCAGGAGAGCAATACATGAAGGGGAAAAATCTAAGAAACTAGGGCTAGAAAATCACATTTCTAAGTCTTAGAATAAATCTATTCCCATTTGATAGCTCCATAACTTACCTACCTTTAACTAATGAATTTAAGAATGTTCTTTTAAAAGTTAATTTATTTATGCAATTTCTACAGGCATCATTTGGAATGAGTGTAATTCAGTGAGAAGAACCAATGTTATTTCACTATTTTCTCTTTCTGCCTGAGCTCAATCATTTTATCCCTGAAAAATACAGAAATTCAAAAAGTGATTAAACAAGATGGTGAGACCCACCTATACTCAGAAAATTCTACTATGTACAAAGAGCAGGTGTTCAAACAATGTATGGATTTCAAAGTCATCTCAAAATTCTCTATCTCTATAAAAGCATTGCTAATGCAATTTTTAAAAAAGGTAAATTCAAACAGATCTTTAAAAAAGCATTTCTTGCTGCAGTAGATATTCAAACCACTGTTTTTAATTGAGGAGGTAGGGGGGAACAGGGTGGGGGGGCCTTACAGCTGATGATTTTATTATCATTCACACACAAGTGTGTGTGTGTGTGTATGTATTTTGTGTATTCCAAATATTATATAATAAAAATATTTAATGTTAAAATTAAGTAAGCAAGGTCAACATGAATGCTGAAAAATCATGTTCACAGTACACATTCTTGATACAATGTAACGAAATGGCATTGACTGCTGTGGTCACCCTACCCAAAACCCATAACCCCAGTCTAATCATGAGGAAAACATTATACATATTCCAATAGAAGGGCATCCTACAATATATATGACCAGTCCTCTTCAAAACTGTGAAGTTCATCAAAAACGAGTCTGAGAAAATGTCATAGACAAAAGGAAACTAAGGACACATGACCAACTAAAAGTAATAGGACATCCTGAAATTAAAGAAAATACATTAGTTAAAACTAATGAAATCTGAATAAACTATAGGACTTTAGTTGTTAAAAATAAGGGAGACTGGGTACAGGGCATATAGTGACTCTCTGCTATCCTGAACACTACAAAGTGTATTATTTTTCAAAAAAGTATGTGTTCAATTTCAAAATATTTCTCTTGATTTATACAATGTTTCTGTGCCAGAATTACAAAACTTGAGTTACAAAGTTAATTTATTTGTGTGTGCCAGCCCATTTGTATATTCCTTAAATAAAATACACTATTCTTTTCATAAATTGTGCAATTGATAAAGGCACTGACTCTAGAATGAGACTGCTGGTATTCAAATACAGCCTTTAACAATTTTCAAGTGATCTTGAGCAAATTATGTAAGTTTCACAGTTCTCCATTTTTTTTTTCTAAAAATATGATAACAATATTAGCTGCCTCACCACTTTTCTGTGGCGACTGCATCAGACAAGACACATAAACCACAGATGCCTGGTAAATATCCATTGATAATAGCTGTTAGAATTATTTTTATGGTGTGCACTAACTTCGTCCATAACATCACCCTCTCATCACACATAACCATTAAATCTGATTATCTACTATATGTAAAAATACTGTTGCAGCTCTTGGACAGTAACCTATGCATGTCTCCAATCCTTGAAAGAAAATCCTATTAGGTAACATTCACCCCAGCTGTCTTGTTGAGAGAATTTTTCCAAACCATAAAGAAGAGAAATAGAGCCCAAGGAGAGAATGACAGTATATCCAGGTAGAAAAGACACAGATTACAATTTAGAGTTGTTAAGGTGGCATGGATTTGAGCAGGCAAAGTCCCTGGCAGTGGGGAGTTGCAGAGAAGTCCTAAAAATCTGCTAAGAATCCCTTCATTTCTTGGTCAACTTCTAAACTGAGCTTCTGCAGGAAGACTCAGTGGGGCTTAGCAAAGAATAACTGCTGGAAAGCTGGGGAGCTGAGCAAAGATTCAGAGCCCACACTGTACTGAGAACAAGGAGATTAGATATGAGTCCAGCTAGAATGAAGAGATCTTGGTGAATACCCATGGCTTTTGGTTGAGAGCTGTAAAAGGCCATGCCTATAGCCTGGGAATAAAGACAAAATGGAATTGAACCTGCCCTAACGAAGTTTAAACAGCCTCCAGAAGATCTGGTTTATCTCCCAATAATATAAGTGCTTGCCAGAACAAATTTTAGTATTCTTTGGAGGAAGCTAAAATAAGCTAGAGCCTTTAAAAAGTTTCATAACTCAAATATGGCATATAATAAAATCTTACCTGAGGAGTAAAGAAGCAGAAAGCAGGAGGGAAAAAAAAAAAACTTGAGAGAAAATCATCCATACATAGGATAGTTTTCAGACATAATCCATATGTTGGAATTAGCATGCAAGGATTTCAAAATAACTATGATTAATATGTTAAAAAGAAGAGATGGAAACACTGAAGAAAAAATATACATATTCAACATAGCATGGGAATCTATAATAAAGAATATTTTACACCTGTAAAATACAGTATTTGGAAATTAATAAT